GTTGATACGAATAAAACGTTTATACATCAATGTAAACTCAAGAAATCCACTCATACTTCACTAATTCCAATAGAAACGGACTATTCACAGTAATTTAATATACAAATTTCGATAATGCGATGAGAAGACGAAGTTTATCAGAATTATGTGATATATTTGCGCAATACATTTCGAACAATCTGATCACACATCATGTAGTTGTTATATGAAAATTAAAAGGTCAACTAGACAGGTTAATGGTAAGCCGTAATACATAAACCGAATACATAAAACTGTGATCAATAAATTACTTAGTTTTATCTATGTACATAGAAGATTTCACTCGAATTATATTATAGTACGTCAAACTATCCATCATTAGTATAAATAATCAGTTAATTGAAACTGGACCACCATGGAAAACATGGAAGTACTGGACGGCCAACTCGTCATAGTATGAGACTCCTAAGCAATGTCCATCCACGATATCATCTCGCGAGATTCAAACTCAAGATCTTTGGTCTCGTGTGCGAATGCTTAACCTTTAGAACATTGAAACTGTGCCATCACCCATCATTGTTTTGAGTTACTATCTCGCAACAGACCCGGTATTTCATGGATTGGTTGAAGCTAGACATTAACACGGTTAGGCGTTCGTATGCGAGACCGAAGGTGTTGGGTTCGGATCTCTCGAGGTAGTATCGTCGATGCGCAATGCTCAGGAGTTCCATACTCTTACGAGATGTATATATATATATATATATATATATATATATATATATATATATATTTTGAAAATATATTTATTTGTAAAAGCTTAAACCAGATAACTAGGCAAAACATTGGATTTACTTTGAATTTATTCACTGAGGTTTTTTTTCTTTATATTAACTTGGCAACTAAATACTGTGAAACTATTCGATTAGTCTTAGATATAATATTTAATCTTACTATTATAGACTACAGGTAGTACAATAAAACTACTTACTCACAATGGTATTCATGTATTTAATTGTAATAAATTGTATAATATATTATATATTATGTTATTATTAACTTATATACAAAAAATAATATATATATATATATATATTTACGTCACTATGAAATAGAATCTATAATATATTCAGTAAAATAGTTTTTATTGTTGCTATGGCAACATTAAATGTATGAATATAATCTATAAACATGTACCCTACCTATACAATTTGTAATTATAGAAAATGATACTCTTTAATTTAAAATTAAAAAGAAAAACATCAATATGAATATCTATGACAATGTTTTAAATCATTTTGGTTATTTCCATCATTAAGATCATGATTCAGTTGAAGCTAGACAACCATGGAAAACCTGGAAGCACTGGACGGCCGTTTCGTCCTATTGTGGGACTCCTCAGCAGTGCTCATCCATGACCTCGCCCCTTGTGAGATTCGAACCCCGGGACCTACTGGTTTCGCTCGCGAGCGCTTGACTACTAGACCACTGAACCACGGCATCCAACGGTGTTCATGTCTAACTTCAACTAATCATATCAAATTGTTTTAAAATAAAAAATATCAAAGAGATATTTAGAATGTAATAATGAATTGTAATGTAATTTAGAATATTTATTTCTTGCAAAGATGTATAATGACAAATAGTGGAATATTAAATGTAAATTTTCATCCTATTTGGGACTCTTCAGCTGAATGTACTTGTATCTCAGAGTTGATATTCACTCCGGAACTCGAACCCAATATCGTTCGCTTCAAAGTCTATCACATTAGTCACTTATCTATTGAGTCCTAATAGCCACCTGATTGTGAAATCAGGTGAAATTCAAGTTCACTTGGTATTGTTTACTTGTATCTTCCCTTAGTTATTTAGGACTGCTAATGATCAGTCTAGATCATTTCATAACCATTTTTCTTCAACCTCTCTTCATTGACTTAACTTTAAAATTTGCTCCATAATGATTAGTTCTTATCTAGTTTTATGATATTCTTAAATGAATATTCAAGATTCTAGTAATTACATATTTTATGTTTTATACAGAATAACAATTTTATGTTTTTGTTTTGTATTCCTGAATTTGTTACTGTACTCAATAAACTATTCTGTATGCTAATAATTAGGTTATATTTCGATAATATCAGAAGGGGTTTTATGGATATTATAGTAATTTCAATGGTTGAGATTATGAGTCAGTGGAAGCTAGACCACCATGGAAAATATGGAAGCACTGGATGGCCGTTTCATCCTATTTTGAGACTTCTCGACAATGTAATAAGAAGATGAAGTTTATCTGAATTATGTGATGATATATTAGCGCAATACATTTCAAACTCAATGTGATCACACATAATGTTCTCGTCAAGACATGTTGTATATAAAAATTAAAAGGTCAACTAGACAGGGTAAAGGTTAGCAATAATAAAGAGAAATAAAGTACACAAAAGCAATGTAATAACCATTCTGTAATACCAGGATAGGTTAAGAGTAAGGACGAGGTGTTTTTCAGTGCATAAAAGGGGTTTACGTTTTCGTATAGCCAAGGTTTCAGTAAACCTTAGTATACCTCCTTGAAGACTTTTCTATGACACTACGAATGCTGACTTGATATCTACATTATGACCAGTCTCGATCAAATATTTCTTAATGGAGGATGATGTCTGTGATTTTATTTGATCATTGGAATTCGTTTGTTTCTGAAGTCATTTAGGTATGTGTTCAACCACCTTTAATTGCAAATTACGACTACTGCTCCCTATGTACATGTTTCCACACATACATGTAAACTGATAGACACAATGGGATATGACACAATCGCTTACGTGTTGTTTGTGCTTTTGGTGAAACAGAGACATTATCTTTTTTATAATGACAAGTTTGGCTGCATAAAATATCTGGTTGATGACTAATTTAAGTCTTTGTTTCAACATGAGACTATTTGCGTCGCCTCTAAATGGTAGAATGATGTAAACTCGCTTTTTGGGTGCCAGAAGCGTCATCGGTCTAATCATATTGCAACCCTTCCAGAGATTTATGAACTTCAGTGAATACCCATTATTCGATAACGAGTTATTCAAGAGCTTCGTCTCTACTTCAATAGTATCCCTAGTACAAATATGATTGATTCTATCATCGAAATTAATCAAAAGGTCTAGTTGTTTTAAATTATGTTATAAATTACATATGACTGCTATAGTTGGATTTCGAGTTTTCCCGTGCTTAAAATTATGGACTATATTTGATGAGCCATTATCTAACTTCATACCTGCTAAACTAACTAATGACCATCTGAATGCAGTAGATTGGATGATTATATCTTAATGTTTGACATGAAAGATTTTAGGTTCAAATTCAAGTATGAATGATAACACTAGGATGTAAGCTCATCTTAAATAGACCTAAATGTATTTCTTCTAAGCTAAGAATATTCAGTCAACCTTATCTAAAAACATTGAATTATTTTTTTCTGGTTAGCGTTTTTTGAGCGAGTTAGTTTTCTACGGGATGGGGTTGCCAACCCCATCCCCAACCCTCCTCCTCTAATCAGGCTTGCGACCGGCGGTAGCCATCAGAGGGGCTTCAGGTGAAGTTATCTAAAAAAAAATATTACAGTATGTTTAAAAATGAATGCTAGTGAGCGAATCCACATTATCAAATAAACATGAAACATTTTCTCAATGTTGTTACCTCTTAATTAAATCATTGAATTCTAAATCTTTTATTGTTGTCTTCGAAATCATTGTAACCGGCTACTTAGAACAATTAGATCTGATGAACGTACTCTGTTAAAGTTCTTTTAAATTATGTTTTTAAATGTAAATCATGTTACTCTATTATAAGTAATATATGACTGAAAACATACTCCACAAAATGTATATCAATATCAGTTTTCACTTAACATATAACTTTTCTTTAATATGTAACAGTATTAGAGCTTATAGAGAGGAGAATAAGCTTTCATTTAATAGATCACACCACTGATTGATCTTAGCTAAATACCAAGCTATAAACTAAAATATAATGGATAGCCGTTTCGTTTTAGTTTAAGGTTCTAATCTCAACAGGGTCGTGAATGTGCACTTCTAAGGTATCCCATACAAAGAGCAATCTATTTAAATAGATGAATTGTTTACATATAATTAGATAATCTGTTAAAGATACACTAAAATGATTAACAGTGATCATATTACCTAGAATCAATTAAAACCATTTCAATAAAATCTATGAAAGATGGTTATTAATGGTAAAACATTTCATTCAATGAATAGATCAGTATACAATAGTCAAAAATATTGATTGGAAAATCGATGATGATACAATAAAGGGAAACGTTTTTATTTTATACAGAATGAAATAGATCTTGGTAAATTTCAAAATGAGATATACTCTGTTTAACTGCATTTATATTTCTGATATCTTGAAATGATGGGGAAGATTTGTAACTCAGCTGAATGATCTTCATGGAGTTTTATTCTTTGAGCTACATGATTTGGTCGTGTTTTTTTTCCATAGGTGGTTTTGAGATCTTGATTAGTTTCTTCTTCAGTGTGTTTCTTCTTTGTTCTCTGTGTTGTTTGCATGATATCTTAAAGGCTCAAAGAATAAAACTGCATTCGATTCCTAACTTTTTCTTTGAATGGCTCTATACTTCATAATGGTTTTTTAAACTGATTATTTTGACTGTTTACAATTGATTGATCACTAGATGTTGATCAATGTGATGTATGTAAGGTTCTTCTTAGGGCATATTACAGGTACACCTTGCTGACGAGTGCCAAATAACACGAAATCTAGGTGTAGGGTTTCCTGTTGACTACCTCTAACCACCATCTTATATGTAGACTGTATTTTATAAACGACATGGCTAGTTTTGTATATTTATTAATGACTCGTATTTGTGAGACACTTCGAGTATAATATGGATGCCGTTTATGATATATCGTTGAGAGAAGAATGAACTTTATAGAGATAGCTTACTGTTAAGCTAATATGAACATTTTCCCGGATGTTTTTTTTTATTCAAAAGTATGATCTATATAGTTAATCACTCATGGAATAAGGTATGTTGGCTTATTCTGAGCTCTGAGTAACCATAAGGTTAATTAAACTTTAAATCAGTAACTTGAAAGTATCATATTTGCTAAGAAAACTGAATTCACCTGATTTTATCCATTATAGGATCAAAGTAGGTTGAAATAATCATCTAATTATTCCTTCCTATTAGTATAAATGGCCTTTTACTTATCAACTATCATTTTTAACTACCCAATGTGTTTACACTATCACATTTTATATTCAGACAAATGTGACTTGATATTTCATATCAGTTCATTGACATTCAGTCACTCAGTCAGTAACAACGTAGAACTTCATTTGAGTTGCCATCTAATTTAATCATATCAATCACTTATATGAATGATCTAATTAAAATAATATCAATCTGAAGGCGAACAAAATATCTTTTTAATAACTAGTTACTAGATTTATAAAAAGGAACCGTTGTTACTGAGGAATAGAATACTTACCCACTAATAATGATAATAATTAAATAACTATCATTCAATATCTCAAATTTACTGACGATTGAATTCTAAGTCAATAAATACCAATTTAATGATTTAGAAGTTAAATACTCACTACAAAACTTGAAGGTTAAGCATTCAATCCTTCGTGAAGTTATCAATGAACACTTTTGAAGAATTCTATATTGAAACCAGACAACTATTCAATGGCTCCTAATTGTCACTTAGTCTAGACGTAGTCATTTCATGATATATAACCTTCTATGATACTTATAATACAATTATATTTACAATCTATACTATAATAATATCTATTTGCATATATATATATATCTTTTATAGATAGTAATTTTGTATTGGGTAATGCACAAGTACATGATTATCCTATTGTATATTGTTCTGATGGATTTGTTGAATTAACTGGTTATAATAGATCACAAATTATGTCAAAATGTTGTTCATGTAGTTTTCTTTGGGGTGAACGAACAGATGATAATGCAAAACAATCAATATTAAATACATTAGAAAATAAATGTGAATTACAAATTGAAATACAATTTCATAAGAAAACAAGTAAGTAAATTTTTATATCTTTAATCTTTTTGTTGCCATGGCTGTTGTTGTTGTCGTTACTGCTGATGTTGTTGTTGCTGTTGTTGTTGTTTCTGTTTTTGTTGTTGCTGTTGTTGCTGCTGCTGCTGATGCTTTTGTTGCTGCTACTGTCGTTGTTGTCGCCGTTTTTGTTGTTGCTGTTATTGTTGTTAAATAAACTAACCATTATTCCTTGTGAATGAATGTGATTAGTGTTTGCTTCTTTTACATAAATATTGAATAATCCCTCTTTGTTATTAAAGTTTATTAATATTAGTAAAATACTATGTATTTACCATTGTGATTGATTGCCTAATATTAAGGCCACCAAATGCCCTGGTACGGGCTAGAGTGGAGAGAGTCTACTCTCCCTCTCAAAATGCTCTCACATGGCCACGCGTATATAACTTCTGTCAGGGAAGTCCTACTCACTGCCTTCTCTCACCACTGGTGTTGTTTATGAAAATGAGAGGAGGAAATGCGAATGTCCGACACTTTAACCGAATTCCAAAACAATGGTGCACATGGGCTCCAGTATCCTGAAGGAATAAATGGGGCATGAACCAATCGTTGGTCACCGGCTACCGTGGGACTGCATCTCCTTGCGATGCTCCACTGCCTTGTAGATCAGATCTTCAGGTTGAAGGCTCGGGGTGTGGCTCCCTAAGAAAACCACCTGCTTTGGTTTAGGCACCCGGGCAGTATCACACACCTCACACATATCAAATGAGATCTGTGTGTCGCATATGTATTTGGTGCCTCCATGTACTAATATCTATGTGTCCAGTCAGTCAGCCTAATAATAATGTAAATGATTGAAGGTCGAATTCCTACGGAAATCAGATCATTAGAGATATAATTAGCGAAAAATAGAGTAACTATTCCAAATAAAAGGTGATTTCTACACATATTTATATAGAACAAAACAAACAGATTTATGATTTTTATACATTAAAACATAATAATGCAATGGATTAAAGCCTTAGCATGTTTACATATTAATAAGCCTATACACAGATCTCAAATAGTTCGCTCTCCCTCTCGAAATGCTTTCACATAGTCATGCGTGTAAAGCCACTACCAGAAAAGTTCTATTCACTACCTTCTTGTAGCGTGGTTGTTGTTTACACGGAGGTTCTACCTAGGGGATTTGGAAAACGCTGATGCTGAACCAATGGTGCACATGGGCTCCAGTATCCTGAAGAAAAAAATGGCGTATGAACCTATTGTTGGCTATCGGCTACCATGAGACTGTATCTTTTGACGTTCTTCTATTACCTTTAGGTTCAAGGCTCCGCTTGTGGCCCCCTAAGAAAACTACTTATTTCGGTCTGGGCACTCGGGAAGTATAACAGTCTACACACAAATCAAGTGACTTGTGTAGTGTATATGTATTCAGTGCCCCTTTGTACTAATATTAATATGTTCGAATAAATGCATAATAATAACTAAATAATAGCTTACTTACAACGAGATTCAAATATTAATGGCTTAATCTATTCTGTAATCAAGCCTAGATTTTATTAGTTTCTCATCTTATATCAGTATGTAAAATGACTTGTCTATAAATTACGCATATAAAACTCCTATTTTAGGATTCGATTACTAAATACTGCCTTATTTTAAATATGATCAGGATTTCTTACATACATATATTTACTTAAATCATCATGATGATATCGTTCAGAAGAACTATGAAACCACCACGACCAAACCATCTAGCTCAGAGAACAAAACTCCATCAAAATCATCCACCTGAGCTACAAATCTTCTCCACTATCTCAACATGGTGTAGTGGTTAAGTGCTCGCGAATCGGGATCGTAGATACACACTGCTGAGGAGTCCCCATACTGGGACGAAACGATCATCCAGTACTTCCAGGTTTTCTATGATAGTCTAGCTTCTATTGATTCATGATCTCAACTATTAAAATATACATATTACTTAAATTGTGAATCAACAACTGAATTCATTTTAATGAAATTAAATTTTTTTTTTTAATCATTTTAATTATAAAACTCATTATTGAACTTTCCAATAAGGAAATATGAACAATATAGATTAATATGGAACAAATGAAATAATTTAATTCTTTAGAGGTGAAATGATTAAGTTAAAGGCTACAATTGTTTTCCATTGACAATTAAATAAGTAAATAAATCTATAACTTGAAAGAATACAACGATTATTCAAACTAAATGAATGAAGGATGAAAAAAACAAAACAATATAATTTAATCATTGGTTTATTATAACAGTTGAAGTCATGAATCGATCAATGTTAGAGATCACTATTGAAAACTTGGAAGCACTGAACGCCTGTTTTGATCTAGTATGGAACTGTACAGTGATGCTTATCGACAATCTTGATCGTGGGATTTGAACCCAGGAGCTTCAGTTTTGCTGGAGAACACTATTCATCTCAGATAATAGATAAAGAGTTATGCAAGAGTATAGATAAATCGAAGTTAGACATTAACACTGCTGGATACCGGCTCAGTGGTATAGGGGCCAAGCGTTTGCCCACGAGACCGTAGACTATTGATTCGGATCTCTCGTGAGGGATCGTGGATGAGTACTGGTGAAAAGTGTTATACTAGAACGAAACGGCCGTTCAGTGATTCTACGTTTTCATTGGTGATCTTAATAACTGAAAGAAATTTTTTTATTATATCAAAAATCACATTTTATATCATACTACACTAATCAAACATATGAATGTTATCTGAAATTATTCGAGGATTGATTCATGTCACTTGAAGGTTTTAGATTGAATTTAACATTATGGATTGTTATTAGGCATCAACACGCAAAATATCAGCTTGTAAAAGGCTAAATAATTTGGAAAATTACTTTATCATTTACTCTCTTCTAGTTATGCTGCTCGTTGACGTGCCAGAATTGAAGAAACAAAATATGATATCACTTATTTTATCTTTACAGAAGGACTGACGTACGTCAACATCTGAACTGAGGATAGGGAGTGAAGTAGTCGAACTCATTGACAATTTCACTTATTTTGGAAGTCTGATCAGCCCTAACGGGTTGGTGTCTGACGAAATCTCAGCACGGATTAAAAAATATTGTTTGGTTTTTGTCAACCTACGTCACCTATGGCGAAGGCGAGATATCCGTCTATCAACTAAGGGACGAGCATATTGCGCGGCAGTTTGTTCTGTTCTATTTTACGTCTGCGAAACATGGCCTTTAAGAGTAGAAGATATTCGTAAGTTACTAGTATTTGACTACAGATGCCCTAGAAATATTGCCAACATCTGCTGGGATTAACGGTTAAGTAATAGTGAGGTTAGACACAGGGTATTAGGGAATGATGGTAAATCAGTTGATGAGATTATGAATCTTCATCGACTGAGATGGTTGGACCACGTGTTGCGTGTGCCTGAACACCGATTACCACGACGCGTAATGCTAACCGGTGTTAGGGATAATTGGAAGAAAGCTAGGGGCGGCCGAACCAAAACGTGGCATCAGTGCTTGAAGTCAATAACTCCTAGTTTTAGTCATGTTGGTAGATGCAAACTACCTGGCTGGGGTCCGCGTGACTATCGTAACCAATGGTTGGAGAATCTGGGTGACAGGACCGATCACAATGGCGTAGGTGTATACATTATTTGTCTTCCCTTAAACTATGAGTTTAAAATCACTTCAAGTCTTTCTTTCTATAAACTAATTCTTTCTTTCTTTCTTTCTTTCTTTACTATGTTCTTATATGCAATCTTTCGTTTATACATTACCGCTATTGAATTAACTACTTATATGAATTCTGTGTTCATCTTGTTGTGCTAATGAGGTTTGGCAACGTGAGCCGATTCATATATGTGTCTGGTCCTACGTTGTAGCTGACTAACTGATCATGTTTTCTTTGTTTTTGATTACTACCTTAAATAACAACGAGAAAATTCAAGTGAACATTACAAAGTGAATCTAAATTCCATCTCATTGCAAAAGTAAGTGGCTATCAAGACTTAATAGCTAAGTGGATAACGTGATGGAGTTTGAACTGAACGGTACTGGGTTCGAGTCTTGAATTGAACATCAACTCTGATATTCAGGTACATCCATCTGACAAGTTCCATATGGAACGAAACACGTATCCTGTATTCAACTTTTCACTTTCTATCATTACTTATAAATTTTGTGATTTCAATTAATATAGAAGGCAATCCACAATGGATACACAGTTCCCAATAAGATGATCAATTACCGTCTTAAATAACATTGAAAAGATATAAATTAAATAACACCAATTGAATATAACTAAAGAATTTGTTACCTTATGTATTACTATATTATATAAATATGAAATAATGAAAGGTATCACAGTGACAACATATTGTAAACGTGATTTGAACATATTTTAAACTAAACTAAAAAGACAATGAAAAGAAACAAACAAACTGTTGTTATGTAAATGATGAACTTTATATAAATCAAACAATGTTAATTCATATTTAGTGTTAACCAAATAGAAGATTCAAAATTAAAAAAAAAGTTTTTTTGGCAAAAAAAAACTAAAAAAAAACAAACTTACGAAACCGAAAATTTTGTAACATGAAACATTCAAATTTAGGTCGGTTGCTATGTCATTTAAAAAAAAAAAAAGAAGAAGAAGAGAGAAACATTTTTTAAATCACCGCGGAAATCAATATTTTTAAATAGGAAACAATTTTGTAAATTTTTTATCATAAAAAAAATCAAAAGAGTTGGCAAGTAATGATATTTATTTAATGGTTAAAATATTATAATTATATCAAATGGGAATAGATTCATTTACATAGATATAATTGAGGAAGAAAAAAAAGGGGAAAAAAAACGAGTAAAAATATGGAAATAGACTTTAAACTGATTTTAATGAAGTTTTGTTGTGTGAAAGGCATATTGGAGAAATTCGAATGCATCACTTCTATTTGAAGTTTATGCTGATGATATCGTTTAGAAGAATGATGAAAGTTTCACAATCAAACGATTTAACTCAAAGAACAAAAGTTCATCAAAATCATCTGCTTCTATTTCCCAATGTAATATGTTCTTTGACCTTTACGATTCCGTGTTAGAGACTTGCATCGTGATGCAATCTGATGATTTCGGTAATGTATTTCCTATTCACCAACTCCATCGTGTTTTCCTAATTTTCTCTACAGCTGGAAGCTAGTCTGTTTTCTCCCACAGTAGGCGGTTGCCGATGATATTTGGCCAATCAATGTTGAGTATCTTACGTAGACAACTATTTATAAATACTTATACCTTCTTGATGATGGTTGTAGTAGTTTTTGAAGTTTCAGCTCCGTACAGAAGAGGGGATAACCCAGTTTCCAGATGAAAAGGACATTGGGAAAAGACAATGGAAGTAGTTAAGACACACAATGAGGAAATCGCTAAAACACCTTACGAAACAAGTTTTAACTTGGAATCCTGAAGGTAAGCGGAAAAATGGAAGACTGAAGAGCACACTGTGTCGATAATTGGGAGCAGACATGAAAAAGATGAATAGCAATTAGAAACCATTGTAAAGTATTGCTCAGGACAGGATTGGATGGGAAACGCTGATTGGTGGCTAATGCTCCTCCACGAGGAGTAACAGGCCAACGGATATTGAGTATATATATTAGAAGAGGTTTTATGGAGATTTTTGAAATTTCAATAGTTGAAATCATGAGTCAATTGAAGCTAGACCACCATGGAAAATCCAGACTGATAGGTCCTGCGTTCGAATCTCACAAGAGGCGTGATCGTGGGTGCGCACTGTTGAGGAGTTCCACAATAGGACGAAACAGCCATCTAATGCTTCTGGGTTTTCCACGGTGATCTAGCTTTAACTGAGTCCTGATCTTAACTATTGAAATTATCAGGATATAACAAAAAATATCTATATATTTATTATCAAATAGGTTTATTTGGTTTCTTCGACAAATGATGTTCTAGATTATCTATGTATACAGTCAAATTACAGTGTCAGTTATTATATTAAGCCCATATACCTTATTCTATCTTTCGGACAGCTCAATCTATTCATTCTAATTGAGTCACATTCTGACCTTGTTAATTATTCCCTTATCAATCTTGACTGTTTTTATATGAACGCATATGTGTGTGTACACTTCTTATCCCATTACTCATCACATGTCTGTAACTTATTTTGTGTGCTCATAAATATTGATTAACACTTGGTTAAATGGAGAGTTGGCTTACCCGCTATTTTCACTGCGCGTCGTTTCGCTTCTCTCTATTCTATTTGCTTCATATACAAAATATATGTATTCAAAAGTTCATTCTCATTATTTGACTTATTTAATTCCGTTATTCACTGAACGCGGATTAAGTCAATAAATGTATACGACGATAGACGATAACAAACATTCATACGATCTCTTTGGAGTCAGATCTTGGGCCATTGAAGTGGAGAGCCTGTCAACAAACATCATCCGATCTAAATGATGACAAAATAAAAGGCTCCACAAAATAAATAACTAACCACAATCAATAATCATCAATTAATCTTGCCATACTGACTTCATAACTCTCACTATATCGTACATGTAGATTTACAGAAGATAAATCCCAAGACCAATTTTATATAAAAACATTACACTATTAAATCACATAGTTTTAATTCAGACAGATATAAGAAGTCAAATTTACATCACTGGCTTGAAATGATCATGTTCATTTCAGACATGTTTTTCAATTCACTAATTTCAGTTTTAACATATTTCGCGCGTAATTTTAATGTTGAGAGTAACCTAGTATTGATTATCAAGTTGTCTCTTGCCAAACAAATAGTATCAATATCCTTTATAAATAGTATAAAAAGACAAATGCTCTGGTAGGGCTGAGAGTGGGAGAGTCAGCTCTCCCCTATCCAAATGCTCTCATATGGCCATGTGAATAGAACCACTGACAGGAAAGTTCTAGTCGCTGCATTCTCGCAACATGGGTGTTGTTTAAGAAATTGAGAGGACGAAAAGTGAATATCCGGTGCTTTAACTGGGTTGGTGGACATGGAGAGTCCACCTAGGGGAGTTGGGAAACGCTGATTTCAAACCAATGGTATACATGGGCTCCAATATCCTGAAGGAAAAAATGGCCTATCAACCTATTGTTGGTCACTGGCTAACATGTGACTGCATCTCTTGACGTTGCTACATTACCTTGTGGATTAGACCTCTAGGTCGAAAGCTCCAGTTGTGGGTGTCTATGAAAACCACCTGTTTCAATCTAGGCACCTGGGTAGTATCCCAGCCCTCACACAAATCAAATGATTTATTTGATGCATATTTACTTAGTACCTTCTTGTATCAATGTTTATGTGTTTAAATAGGTTTCAAAGTAATCAATCACTAACTTCTGACTCAAATTAAGCACCTCACAAAAAGTAATATGAAAATAAATTAGTGTATACAATTAAACTGAGTTCGACTTAATAGAGCATATAGATGGGGTTGAATTGTTATACTACATACACTTTTAAGTTCAATCTCATAGATAAATTATAAAATGCTACTTAAGCGTTGCAGATGAATGCGAAATATCATGTGGATTTATTTCACTTAGACGTGAACACTATTGGATGACGGCTCAGTGATCTAAAGGTGAAGTGTCCTCACGCAAGTTCCGCATTTTGGATCGTGAATACACGGTATTAAGAAATCTCATACTAGAACAAATAAAAGTGTAACTTTAAACTGTTATATCTAGAGTTTAGATTCTTAATAAACCGCATATGACTTGAGCACTCGAACTCTAGAATACTCCCAAGTCGTAAATGAGAAAACAAAAGATGTGTGAAACGTATGCTATTCTAAACAATGTTAAATATGATACAAAACTGTCAGGTATTTATAGTTTTTAGTGAAAACGAAATCATCATTATAATTCTCCAATTCATATAAAAAAAGTTATTAGCATTAGTTCAATAAAGAAGCTGCACTTAGGAATTCTGAAATATTCTTCCAAAAGATGATCGCATAGGATATCTTCATCTCTATCTGAGCTTCTTAGAGCTTCCTTGAATTCACCCATGAACTGTCCATACAAAAACAAACTTTGAGTAATGATAACAATCTATGATATTTACAATGTAATTGATTATTATTATTATTATTATTATTATTATTATTATTATTAGTAGTAGTAGTAGTAGTAGTAGTAGTAGTATTAGTATTATTATTATGTCATAATATGATTGTGTTTTTTTTAATTTTTTTTAAAGATGAAGCATTTCTTTGTTTATTGGATATTGTACCAATTAAAAATGACAAATCACAAGTTGTTCTATTTCTTGTATCCCATAAAGAGTTATCGCCTGATCGACATGGACGAAGTAAGTATATATATATTGTTGATAGGGGAAAATGTACTTTTCTATTAGGATTCTTTTAATTTCTATTAATGAAATACTTAATTCAATTCATAATAAGTTGTACCAAAGTTATCAGTTGAAGTATGAAATGTACGGGTGTGTGTGTGTGTGTGAGTGGGTGGGTGGTTTATTTTACAACAACTATGGATACCAATAAAAGTCTATTGTGTATATATTTATATGACATTTTTGTTAAATATATATGAATATAAAGAATCTATACAATCTTATGTTTAATTACTTCAGTATCATTTTAACTTCATTTTACTTAAGAATGATTACTATAGTGATATTATGGTAATGATCATTATTATTCATTTATTTGAACATATAAATATTGGTAAAAAAGGGGTATCGAATACATATGCACCACACAAGTCATTGGATTTGTGTGTGAACTGTGATACTGCCTAAACCGAAACAAGTAGTTTTCTTAGGAGGTCACAACCGACGCGTTTAACCTAAAGGTCTGATCCACATGGTAGTGGAGTTGCGTCAGGAGATGCAGTCACATGGTAGTTGGTGACCGAAAGTTGGTTCATATGCCATTTGTTCCTTCAGGATTCTGGAGCTCATGTGCACCATTGGTTTGAAATCAGCGTTTTCCAATTCCTCCATATATGGATCCTCTATACCTACAAACCCGGTTAAAACAACGGACATTTGCTTTCCGTCCTCTCAATTTCGCAAACAACACCTCTGCTGAGAAGAGGCAGTGATTAGAACTTCTCTGTCAACGGATTTATATGCGTGGCTATGTGAGAGTATTTCGAGAGAGAGCATTTGGAAGCAATTCAATAAACGCCAAAAGCAGAAGGTTGAGAAGATGGGATTTAAGAGAACGGGAACAGTGAGTAATTGTTATGAGAATGAAGGAACGATAAAGTTTAAGACAACTGATAGAAGATTTATAAATGAAGTATTGAACGTATGCTTTCCCATTTTACCAAAGAACTCTTTAATTTTATGTAGAGATGCAATCAGGTGTCCTCACCTGTGTTCTCATTCATTAAACATTAGCTCTTAATGACTACTTTGAAAGTTAATTACCAAAATTCATATGGTAGATCAAATGAAATTATGTAATTAATCAAATTGTTTTCGATATTACCATTAGATACGTGTCAACTGACTTGTAAAACAAATAGCTCTAAGTCTACATTCAGTGATCTAAGTGTATCTTAATCTTTATAGGAACTGTAACTTGATGCAGTTAACCTACTACTATGTAATAATGAGTAAACGTTAATAACCAATAAAAATGATACATAATATTATTGAATATTGAATAATGAATTGATTGTTTTGAGTATCTATCTACTACTCTTTAATATCTAAATAGTTATTAAATTACTTGTCATCATCTGATCCAAATCAGTAGTATGGTAATGTTTCTATAAAATTTTAAAGTAATAATACATATTATATTATAATAATATTTGGTTACCAATGAGAACTAATATCTGATCTATCAAGTGAAGTTACTTTACATAAAAAACTACTTGTCGACTTTTTCAAAGAACATCCTAAATGCCCTGGTACGGCCGAGAGTGGGGAGAGTCCGCTCTCTCTCTCCAAATGCTCTCACATGGCCACGCGTATATAACCTCTGCCAGAGAAGTCCTACTCACTGCCTTCTCTCACCACTGGTGTTGTTTACGAAAATGAGAGGAGGAAATGCGAATGTCCGACACTTTAATCGAATCCAAAACAAATGGTGCACATGGGCTCCAGTATCCTGAAGGAATAAATGGCGTATGAACCAATCGTTGGTCACCGGCTACCGTGGCACTGCATCTCCTTGCGATGCTCCACTGCCTTGTGGATCAGATCTTCAGGTTGAAGGCTCGGGGTGTGGCTCCTTAAAAAAACCACCTGCTTCGATTTGAGCACCTGGTTAGTATCCCAGCCTTCACACATATCAAATGAGATCTGTGTGGCGTATATGTATTTGGTGCATCCTTATACCAATATCTATGTGTTAAAATAAATAAAATAATAAATAATCAGAACGGGTGGTTTTGTGGAGATTTTAGTAATTTAATAGTTGAATTCGTGACACAAAGAAACAAGCTGTAAAGGAATAAAAATTGTGCACTGCTGAGGAGTCCCATACTAGAACGAAACTGCTATTCAGTGTTTTTTCTCGATTTTTCATGATTGTTTAGTTTCAATTGACTCATGGATTCAATTATTAAATTCCTTTATAACTTTTAAAATTAGAGTCAAATACATCCTTTGATTATTATAAATCACACAACATTTAATGTAGTGAGTTCTCAAATTAAATTAACATTGTAGAGAAGTATGGACAATAGTACATACCACAAGTGGTTTTTGTGAATATTATAGTAATTTCAATAATTGAGACCATGAACCAATTGAAGCTGGAAGCACTGGATGGCCGTTTCGTCCTAGTATCGAACTTCTCAGTATTACTCAATCCAAGATCGCACCTAACGATGTTCGAACCCAAGCCTTATCGGTCTCGCGCGCGAGCGACTAACCTATAAATTACTGAGCTGGTCAACATCCAATCGTGTTAAATTCTATCTTCAACTAATCCACGAAATTGAGCAACATATCCACCATTGTCATCAGTGAGCTGATATTTCACAACAGACCTGGTTGAACTCGACTGGTCACTACTTTTCACTAGAACTGCAGGATATACTGTAGTGTTTGTCATTATGTTAAGCCCAAATATTTTATTATTCTAACTTTCGGACAGCTCAATCTATTCATTCTATTTGAGTCACATTCTGACCTTGTTAATGATTCGCTTATCAATATCTTGACTGTCTTTGTATGAGCGCGTAGGCGTATGTACACTTCTTATCCCGTTACTCATCACATGTCTGTAACTTCTTTTTGTGTGCTTATAAATATTGATTAACGCTTGGTTAACTGGGTGTTGGCTTACCAGCCATCTCCACCGTGCGCCAATTTAGCTTCGCTTTCTCATCTTCGCATCGTTCCTCCATTCGTTAGTCGAATCAACAATTATACGAAATATATACATTCAAAACTCCATTCTCGTTATTTGACATATTTAATTCCGTTATTAACTAACGCGATTTAAGTCAATGATTATATACGAGGATAGGCGATAGCAAACAATCATACAATCATTACAATCAAATTGGAGTCAGATCACGGGCCACTAAACTGGTGAGCCCGCCACCACAGTCAAACACAACGGGCCACTAAAATACCTCTAGAAGCCAGTTACTAATGAGTATATGTTTAAATTAATTTCAGAAGGTGTTTTTGTGTTCAGATCATATGTCAATTGAAGCTAGATCATCATGGAAAACTTGGAAGCACTGAACAGCAGTTTTATCTAACTCTAGGACTCCTCATCAGTGCACATTCACGGTTACATAACATAACATTTATGACTTACTAATAAAAATATTAATGAATATCCTTCATTTATTTATAAAGTTCTATTCCTTCCGTTAATTTAATAAAGTTTTATACATTAACTATTAAATATACAATTTGATTCTACTATTCAAAATATAAATAAGATACCTACATATTGAGATTATCCAATAACAAACACTAAATGAAGTTAATTTAATTACTATGTAGAAACAAAAAAAAAAAAATTAGTTTGATTGATTAAAATTTTTTTTCTGTTTTGTTTTTCTTTAATGATAGAAAACTTTTTTTATCATAATTTTCTTCTACTTTTGATATTCACATATCACATATAAACATTGGTACAAGGATGCATTAAATAAATATGTGTCATAGAAATCATTCGATTGAATGAGGATTGGGATATACTACCCGGGTGTCTAGACAGAGGCAGATGGTTTTCTTAGCGGGTTACACCCATAGCTTTTTGACTTAAAGGTCTAATCCACAAGGCAATGAAGCGATGGCAGCAGATGCAGTCACATGATAGTCGATGACCAACAATTGGTTCATACGCCATTTGTGCCTTCAAGATTCTAAAGCTCATGTGCACCACTGGATTGGAATCAGGGTTTTAGAATTCCCATAAGTGAACTCTCCGTGTCCATCAACCTGGTTAAAGCACCGGATATTCGTTTTTCGACCTCTCAATTTCGTGAACAACACCCCTCTCCGCGAAAATGCAGTGAGTAGGGCTTCCCTGGCAGTGTTTGAATGCACGTATTCATCTGAGAACATTTGGAGAGGGGAGAGATGACTCTCCCCGCTTACGACCGTACCAGGGCATTTGAGGGCTAGATAAAGTAGACTGTGTTATGATGAGAGGTCAAAATCATACATGACTGAATAAATTTATTAATGAAATAAATTAATCAACAAGCAGTAACTGATAGTTATTAGAATGATTATTTAGCTAGTGGTTGACGTATTGTAATATGCAACAAAGCAACCATTTATTTACAGCTAATCTCATTCTTATCTAGTTTTTAGTGTTGTTTAAATCTTATTGACGAAGTTGCATTTTGATTAATTTACTTGATATAGAGTACATGAACTGGACAAACAGGAGTTTGCTTACCAGTAAGAAGTTAGTCAGGATTATAACCTGAGTATGATATGAAACTATTCGTATAATTAAGTTGAATCATTTTCTCTATTAACCGATTAATTTGATTTTAAGAGGTAATGAATTATTTCCCGTCTGAATAAAGGAACGATTTAACAAACGTAGATTGATAACAATACGGAAGTTATATACTCCTGTTACTCCTCATAGACGAACGTAGGCCAACCACCAGCTTCCCTCACCAAACTCTGTCCTGGACAATCTTTTCCAGTTGCCACTCATTCTTATCACTTTTTCTTCTCCTTTAATGATTCCGAGTTAATGCTTGCCTCATGATGTTGTTTGATGATTTCCGTAATGTATGCCATATCCACTTCCTATGTTTTTTACTAACTTCCTCTTCAGTTGGAAGTTAGTTTATTCTCTTCCATAGTAGGCTGTTGCTGATTGTATCCGGTCAACGGACATTGAGTATGATGTGTAGATAAGCGTTTATAAATAATTGTGCCATTTTGTTGATGGTTGTGGTAGTTCAGCTCTATACAGTAGAACCGTCCTGACACTCGTAATGAAGATTTTGATGTTGATATTGGCTTAGAGACCGTTGTTTTGAGTTCTATATGTTCTTCAATTTTAGAAACGCTGTCCTTACTTTGACGATTGCATCAGATCCTCCTAGTTCATAGTTAATGCAATCCAAGTACATGAAACTTTCCACCTTTTCCAGAATTTCTACATCAAGTGTGATCGGGTTGATGTTCTCCATGTTGTATTTGATGGTGTTTCATTTTCCCTTGTGTATATTGATGCTTACTGTTGCAGACACTTCTGCTACACTGCTTGTCTTGACCTGCATTTGTTCATGTGTATGACATAGAAGAGTTAGGTCATCTGTGAACCCCAAATCATCTAGTTGTATGCAAGCTATCTATGGTATTCCATGCTTCTTCTGAAATTTGAAAGTCTTTGTAATCCAGTAACTGCAGAGGTAAATAATCCCACTAAATGAATTGCTTAAAACATATCTAACAAAATATATCAAAACCGTTAACTTATATGAACTTGTTTAATGAAAGATGATCGGTCAAGAACAAAACTGGTTATGTTTTTCAAACTCAGGATTCATACTTTTCTACTCATATCCAATCTTCACTTACTCAGAATAAACTACACATTCCATAACAACATCGAGCTATAATATTTTATTTATTGTAGTGATATTCAAAGTTACTAAACAAAAGAAATTGCCTTATGTTTAATCAGTTAGATTTAATTTAACATTTTTAGTTAGTTTCTAATCAACAAATAAATAAATTTGTGGTCAAAGACGGGTTTTTGTGGATATTGTAGTAATTTCAATGATTGAGATCATGAGTCAGTTGAAGCTAGACCACCATGAAAAACCTGGAAGCACTGGACAGCCATTTAGTCATTGTAAGAATGCGCATTGTTGAGGAGTCCCACAATAGAACGAAACGGCCGTTCAGTACTTTCAGGATTTTTATGGTGGTCTAACTACAATTGACTCATGATCTCGACTATTGAAATTACTATAATATCCACAAAAACATCTTTTGATACTAACCAGCATATGCTCAATAGTGACTGACTTCAACAGATATATCCTGCAGTTCTAGTGTGAAGTAGTGACCAGTCGAGTTCAACCAGGTCTGTTATGAGATATCAGCTCACTGATGACAATGGTGGATGTGTTGCTCAATTTCATGAATTAGTTGAAGATAGACATTTAATACGATTGAATGTTGACCAGCTCAGTAATTTATAGGTTAGTCGCTCGCGCGCGAGACTAATAGGGCTTGGGTTGGGGTCGAGTACTACTGATACGTTCCATACTAGGATGAAATGACTGTCCATTTTTTCCACGTTTTCCATGATGTTTTAGCTTCAATTGGATCATGATCTCAATCAATAATAAATAAATTTATGATCAGAAAAAGAAAAACTACAGAAAATGCCGTTAATCCATTTATTATCCATAAGAATACGATCTACTCAACTGTAATTTTTGTTTTCAATATAGCAATTACATATCTATTGATTCATCATGTTTCTTCACTTGATCAATTTATAATCGGCTTATTTAATTGTAGTTTGGATATAATTTTGGAAAATTTCACTAGAAAGATTAGATATTCATTACACATAAATCATTATTTTAGTTATAAAAAGAAAAACAAATCGGTCAATTATGAATGAACATCCATTATTATGATCAATAATTTACACATTTTTTTCTATGTTTACTTCAATAAAATGTAATGATAACAATGAAATCGATTATTATCAGTAGAGGGTTGTAGAGATTATTAAGTGTTTGATTGAGATCATGAACCATTTGATGTTAAACTACCGTTGGAAACCTAAAATTACTGGACGGCCATTTCATCCAAGTATGAAACCCCACGATAGTTCGCATCAACGATCCCACTCACGGAATTCGAACACATGGATCTCAGTCTCGAGCGTGAATGCTTAAGCTCTAGATCAATGAGCCGTCATCCAACAGTGGATAATTTCAAGATGGATTTCATGAAGTTCTGGTAAGAAACCGTGACCAGTGAAGTTCAATTGTGTCTTTTGTGAGGTAGTTAGTCACAGAAAACAATAGTTAACAGTAGCACACTATCGTGGATTAATTAAAGTTAAACATTAACACCACTGTATACAAGTTTAGTTGTCTAGAGTTAAAGCAATCGTACTTGAAACCGAAGGTCAAGTGTTCGAGTCCCACGTGAAAGATCATGGATGCCTACATACTTATCCCATACTTGGGCCAATATTTCCAGATTCATTCATGATATCAATCTAAACTCAACAATCTTCATAACTCTATACGGACATAATTTTTTTTTTAATTAATTAAAAATTAAAAAAACCATAACTATCTTTTTATCATTCAATGTAAATATTATAGTTGATGTCATTACATTACTCACTTGATCGACATATATCAAAGTAATAAATCTCTACATAACTAATCATTTTCTAGATCTGTTCGTTATAAATGATCATCAATTGTAATGTCCAATCAAGCAATAACAACAAAAAAAAAAAACACAAAAACAAAAACGTACATCAAGATCAGCTAAATTTCTGATTACCTCTAACTTATTTTGAAACTAAGATTATTGGAATGTTTTGTTTTGTGTGTGTGTGTGTTTGTTTGTTCGTTTGTTTGTTTGTTTGTTTGTTTGTTTGTTTGTTTGTTTCTCCAACATATACAATGATAATAGTAACTATGTTTCATAAATATACATCAGGAAATTAATTTTTACTTCACTCATCCATCAATATCAATCATCTTAAAGAATTTTTGGTTCAATGAAATATTCAATCAACCATACTACTTATATCAACTTGAATATATTACTATTAATTTTTATTCATATATATAAAGCTTATAGTAAGTAGAAAATGAAACAAGAGCTGCAAAGTAATGGGATAAGACAACATTAAAGAAGAAACATTGAAAGTAAATGTAGCAGTAACTGCAAAGATATTCGACATTCTCTACAACAAGATTTAGGATGAAGGATAAGTACCAATAGACTGGAAAGAAGGATAAAATACTGAAAGAATATCTCAGCAAGTATAAGCATCACTCTTCTCTCAATGAGTGAAAACGTGTTCAACAAGGTGTTGTTAAATGAAATGAAGGATTCCGTAGATGTTCAACTTTGAGATCAACAGACTGGATTCTGTAAGGATCAATCGTGTATCGATCAAATTGCAACACTATGGACCATTGTGGAACAATCAATTGAATGGATTTCATCACTCTACATCAATTTCATTGACTACAAAAAAGCTTTTGATCGCGTGAACAGAAGGGTTTTACGACACTACGGCGTGCCTATCGGTCCCGTGCACGATAGCTAAGACTCTAGACTATTATGTCAGCGGGCTCGTAGATGCGCACTGCTGAGGAGTCCCATAGTAAGACGAAATGACCATCTAGTCCTTCCAGGTTTTCCATGGTGATCTAGCCTCATATCATATCTAAACAACCTCTTCTGATATCAAAATATCAATCGTTAACTTTAAATTTAAATGTTTGCTGTCTAGTAGAGACTCGATTAAATGTGTACATTTTACTATTAATACAAAGCATACATTATGGAACCATCGAGAATACATCCAACTGTATACATATTGTATATTTATGAAATCATAAAATTGTATGTACATCATTAAAGTATAGTTTGTTCCACAAACACAACTATTATTGTATTATTATACCATAGCGTTCCAATTACGTATGCTAAAATAAACATGGAAATCCTCTACTTTCCATTTTATTTGAATTCTTGACTGATTGTCTGAACAATACAGACAGTTATGAACAAATGTAATCTCTAAACCACTGAGTTGGCATACAACAGTGTTAATGTCTAACCCTAACCAATCCACGAAATCTCACTACCATCTTCCATTGTACTGAGGTAGATAACTGTCTCTACCCGACACGGATTAGCTTCAGTGGTCACAGCTTCTCACTAGAATTCCGAGAATTCCCTCACGAAGCTAGTCACTAATGAGCATATGTTAATTAACAGTAAAGGGGTTGTGGAGATTATTAAGTTTTTAATTGAGATCATGAACCGATTGATGTTAGACCACCGTTAGAAACCTGAAAGCACTGGGTTTCATTTCATTTCTGTTATGTTACTTAATGTTCATTTTCATTCTATTACTATACTATATTATTATTGTCATCCTAAATGCCTACAATTATTGGTAATATATTTATTTATATTATAATTATTATATTTATAAATTTTAGGTAAAGCCAATTATAGTATACCTGAATCAAGTTTAAAAGTACCATATATGTTATCTGCTCAACATTTAACTGGAACATCTCCATCAAATAAAACACCAAATTTATTAACAATGGGTTTAGCAACAACAATTACAGCAGCAGTTCTTGGTTCAACTGGATTTCGTAATAATAAATTATTAGATTATTTAAGTGCTAGAAAGAATACAACAACAATATCACCACCACCAACACCACCCCCACCACCACCACCGAGAACAACTACTATTACTCATAATAAATTCGATAGAAATACTTCAATTGTAAATAGAAAATTACCAGATCGTAGTTCGATTGATTCAAATAAATCAACCAGTAATAATAGTGTAATAAGTGATGCTCAAAATATTCTATTAGATCCAATAGATGTTGAAAGTGGTCCACTTTTAATAACAGAATATAAAAGTAATGGTAATAATAGTAATAATAATAATAATAATAATAATAATAATAATAATAATAATAATAATGGTAGTAAATTATTGGATCCTACACGTTTAATAGTTCATGAATCTGATTCAACTGATACATCAAGTGATGAATCAAGTAATTTAACTAGTGATCCATCAACTGTTTATAAATTTCAACGAAGACGAAGTCGTGCTGTATTATATCATTTATCTGGACGATTTGATCATAAATCTAAGCATAAATTACCATTTAAAAAAGTAAGTAAGATAAACATTTATTAATTAATCTACTATTATTATTTATTAGTAGTATTTTATATGAATTTATTTGAATCGTATTACTATATATAAGAACTATTACTTACTTATTTACTTACTTACGCCTGTTACTCCTGATAGAGTATAGGCCGCCGACCAGCATTCTCCGACCCACTTTGTTCTGGGCCTTCTTTTCTAGGTCCATCCAATTCTTGTTCATTTTTTTTCATGTCTATCTCCAATTCCCAGCGTAATGTGTTCTTTGGTCTTCCTCTTTTCTTTTGGCCTTGAGGATTTAATGTAGTCAATGAAGTTGATGTAGAGTGATGGATTCCATTCAATTGATTGTTCCACAATGATTCGTTCAGTTGTGATTTAGTCTGTACACGATCTATCCTTACAGAATCCTGCCTGTTGGTCGCGAAGTTGAGCGTCTACGGAATTTTTCATCCCGTTTAACAATATCCCTGTTGAAAACTTTTCCTGGTATTAAGAGAAGAGTAATTCCCCTGTAATTATCACAGTTGCTGAGATCGCCTAACCAGAAAAAAATTATTCAAACCATATAAGGACTATATTGTAGACATTTAATAGTAAGATAAATATCTATATCAAATGTAACGGATATTTCCTGTAAACATTTGTTACTATCGTCATTAGAGTAGTAATCAAAAGTTACATACACCAGTTCATAAGTAGCTATGAATTATGTCTTGTTAAAGTTACTTAAAATGAATAAGCGTTCAATAGGAAATGAAGAATATATCGAACTCAAAACAACTGTCTACAAGCCAATATCATAATCAAAATCTTCATTATGTGTGTTAAAACAGTTTCAATGTATAGAGCTGAACTACCAAAACCATCATTAAAAAAGTACAAATATTTATAAATAATTGTCTATGCAAGAAACTGAATGTCCATTGAAAGGATACAATCAGCAACAGCCTAATATAGAAGAGAACAAACTAATTTTCAGTTGAAGAGGAAATTAGGAAAAGACGTAGAAGGTGGATGTGACATACATTACGGAAATCATTAAACTATATCATGATGTAAGCACTAATTTGAGATCCTGAATGAAAACAGAAAAGACGAAGGTCGAAGAATACACTGCATCGATAATTGGAAGCATACATGAAAAGGATGAATGGTAACTGGAAATAACTGGAAAGGATTGTCTAGTTTGGTGGTGAATGCTGGTGGTTGGTCAATGCTCTTCCTTAGGGTCAAAAGGAGTAATTCAGTAAGTAAGTAAGGCATTGACCATTTGGATGTTGTCTGATACCTACTATTATGTATATATAGACACTGATATAAATGTCGCTGATTAACACTTTGATAAATACTATTAGAAATCTTCACAAGAAATATCAGTTTCATTTTATTTAGATATTTAGATATATCAGTAACTTTATTCACATATAACAATATGATTTTCCTGTATTCATTTGCTGTGAATTTATACAGATGTTTACAGGTTCATTTATGTAAAATATCATGACAACCATAAGATAGTTCAAAGATAAGAGTGATAAAATGTTAACCCTTTTTTTAAAACCTTTTTGACAAGTTATGCATCAGCCCTAATCTTCAGATTCTTTTGACTATTTTTGATTGAGATCATGAATCGATCAATTTTAGATTTGGAAGGCCGTTTTGACCTAGTATGAGATTCCTCAATAGAGCTCACTCGCGATACCACACTCTGGATTCGAACCCATGACCTCACGCACGGATGCTCAACCTCTAGACCTGTGAACCGGCATTCGACGACGTTAATATTTAACTTCAATCAACCATCGACATTGCACAACCATCTTTTACTGTTTGATGTAGAAATCTGTCCCCATAGTACGGGACTCCCCAGTAGTGTGCATCCATGATCCCCTCGCGGGATTTCAACCCAGAACTTATCAGTCTCAGGCGCGAGCGCTTCACCACCACACCACTGAGCCGGCCTGAATCGAACGACGTTAATGTATAACTTCAACCAATCAGGGAAAATGAGTCACAGTACAACATTGTCTTCAGTGAGCAGATATCTCACAACATACCTTATTGAACTCCACTGGTCACTACTTCTCACTGGAACTCCAGGAAATACCTAGTAAAGCCAGTCGCTAGTGAACCTATGTTGATTCATACCAGAAGGGGTTTTGTGGATATTTTAGTAATTTCAATAGTTGTGATCGCGAGTCAATTGAAACTAGACTACCATGAAAAACCTGTAATCATTGAATGGCCGTTTCGTTCTACTATTGGACTCCTCAACAGTGCTCATCCATGATCATGCCATCACGAGATTATCAATTTATCCTCATTTGAAAATCAACTAATTTGATAATGATATAAAATCAATAATTACATAATCCAAACTCTTTCTTTTTATCATCATACTCTCTGAACAATCCAAAAACTAGCTAAATTCAATAGGTTAATGAATAACACATTGAACATTTGAATCAATTTGATATTTCAATAGTTGAAATCATGAATCAATTGAAGCTAGACCACCATGGAAAACCTGGAAGCACTGGACGGCCGTTTCGTCCTAGTATGGTTTCAACTATTGAAATTACCAATTCTCCACAAAACCCATTCTAGTAATAATCATCTGCTCACTAGTGACTGACTTCAAGAGATACTCCTGGAGTTCTAGTGAGAAGCCGTGACCAGTGGAGTTCAACCAGGTCTGTTGTGAGATATCAGCTCACTGAAGACAATGGTGACGGTGGCGCAACTTCGTGGATTAGTTGAAGTTAGACATTAACACCGTTGGATGCCGGCTGGCTCAGTGGTCTAGTTGGTTAAGCGCCTGGCGCGAGACTGATAGGTCCTGGGTTCGAATCCCGCGGGGTGCGGGATCGTGGATGCGCACTGCTGAGGAGTCCCATACTAGGACGAAACGGCCATCCAGTGCTTCCAGGTTTTCCATGGTGGTCTAGCTTCAATTGATTCATGATTTCAACTATTGAAATGACCAATTCTCCACAAAACCCATTCTAGTAATTTGATATTTGATCTAATCCTCACTATAGGTTCAGTTAAATCCATCATTGACTATTCCATTGAAAGTGATTTTTTGTTTGTTTTTGTTTTTTGTTTTTTTTGTTTTTCTTTTCAGTTTCAACGTATTTCTGGCAAAGAAACAATTCCTGAATATAAAGTTCAAGATGTACAAGCATCAAGATTTATATTATTACATTATAGTTTATTTAAAATTATTTGGGATTGGATGATATTATTATGTACATTTTATATTGCTATCATGGTACCATATAATGCAGCATTTTCTCAGGGAGGTGATGAAAAAGATTTAATTATATGTGATATTATTGTTGAATTATTATTTATTATTGGTAAGTAAATGATTAATAGAATATATGAAATGAATTAATATTTTATATTCAATGTAAGAAACCTTTGAACTAGGTTAGATTAGATATGAATTACTATTCGTCAATATGGTATCATTGTTATCTTAAAGGAACTAATGTATTCTATAAGATTTAAATCCTTATCACTAAGCATCATTGACTAAAGTTTTACCGTTTATCCAGATCTGTCTCAACTAACAACCTGTGTTATTGAGATATTTAAAGTAAACAGTATAGAGATTTGTGGAGATTGTGTTGAATTAACGAGTTGATCTAAGCTAGACCATTATTGAAAACCTGGAAACACAAGAAAACTAGCTCGTCTTAATATGAAACTACCCGAAAGGGCGCACCTACAATCCTGCACAGGGGACTCGAACCAATGACCCTCGATTTCCCGTGTAAATACTTAATTTCTAGTACACTGAGTTGGCATCCATGAATGTTAATGTCTCACGTTTAGGATCGTGGATGCGCACTACTGAGGAGTCCCATACTATGACGAAACGGTCTTCCAGTGTTTTTAGGTTTTAAATAGTGGTCTAGCTTAGATCGACTGGTGAATTCAGCTGTGAAAATATTTGACATTTTTTCTACTATTAATTACCATTAGATAGTGACAGATATCATGTCTATCTAGTCCTTTACTAGTAATAGATTTTTAATGATCTTTTATCAAATTTGGTAGAATGTTGTTTTATCTTGACTTAAGTCATATCTTTCTAAGTACTTTAAACCAAAAAGTTATTATTAAGGAGAAAATACTACGGATAGTCAACGGCAATTGATAGATTCGAAGTTATTGATGTAATCTATGTAATGATCAAAATGTTCCCAATTGAAATCTTAACATTTAGAATCTATGAATTTTGATGAAATGTACCCATTAAAATGTTTCACTGTAAATACAAGCTGATCACAATAGACTGAATATTTTATCTATAAACTTTAGTATTTTGTAACCAGTTCACTGTCAATACTACATAGAGTTTAGTCACAGTTAATGTTTTTAATCATTCATTCAAATTGTCATTCATTATCAAGAGTATGAGTGTATGACAAACGTTACAATTCGATCGATGTATAAACGTTTCACTTTCGAATATATGCATATATGGACACATTTATGGGTTACTCTTTATTACATTTATCTTGACAACAAACTAGATAACTATTGTAGATCGCGTGATGGCTACTCTAAATTCTAACGATTGACCAATCGCAGATATCACAGTACGATCCTAATACTGTTCCCCAATCAGAACACCAACCGTTAGATGAAAATTATTTATGGGGTCAGGAGAAGAATAAGAATGAGAATGAGAATTTACAGACAAATGTATATTTATACAGTTAGGACTACCGTGAATATTGACCAGTAGGGAAACGACACATGAAATAAATATTGACCAATAGAAAAATAACACCATTTGACGTTCAAGGATAGCATTCGACTTAACTGGATAATTTTTGAGATACTTTTCTGAATATCCTAACAATAACGTAAATCTCCATAAAAACTCAAGTATCATCATGTCTTCAAACGAAAAAGATTATGAAATATGGTAGTTCAGCTATCGATATGTTCTTGGACTTTAAATGATCATAGATCAGAGAACCAATTCATCATACAAACCCAAGTCACTTTTGTTGTAATTATACATAATTATATTAGTATGCATCAATATTTACAGACTCTACACGTATATATATGTAATAATATAGAGTTGTGGAGATTATTATGTTTTAAATTTAGATCATGAACTGATTGATGTTAGACCACCATTGAAAACCTGGAAGCATTGGACGGCTGTTTTGTCTTGATATTGGATTCCTCAGTAGTGCACATCCACGAATCCGCTTGCTGGATTCGAACCCAGGGCCTTCTGTTTCACGCGCGGACACTTAACCACTACACTAATGAGCAAGCCGAGATCCAATAGTGTTATTGTCTAACCTCAACCAATCCACGAAATTGCTCAACCATCTTCTATTGTCTTCGTTTGGTAACTGCCTCACATCCGACACAGATTATTTCCACTGGCCACGGTTTCCCACTAGAATTATATATATATACTCTTATTACCAATCATGGATGAGCATAAGCAGTCTACCAGCATTCTCTATAGAATACTGATGTCAGTTCGTTTATATTTCAGATAATGATAATCATATTGTTGAGATTGTTAGTTTCGTAAGTTTTTAGTGATTGTTTAACTAAGATTAATTAATAATAAAAATTAAAAACAAATTCTTAATTATGAATAATGAATCAAATAATTAAGGATATGGTGAATGAAATAATTAATATTCATTAATATTAATTAATAAATGAGATTTTTATAGATTATTCATGTATTTGAATATATAAATATTGATACCAAGTGATACCAAATACATATGGACTACACAAGTCACTTGATTTGTGTCTGGGCTAGGATACTGACCGGATGCTTAGACCGAAACAAGTGATTTTATTAGGAAGCCGCACTCGGAGCCTTTGATCAAAAGGCAGTGAAACAGTGTAAAGAGATGCAGTCCCATGGTATCCGGTGACTAATGATTCATTCATACGCCATTTGTTCCTTCAGGATACTATAGCTCATGTACACCATTGGTTTTGAATCAGGGTTTTCCAACTCCTCTAGGTGGACTCTCTGTGCTCATCAACTCGGTCAAAGAGTCGTACATTCGCTTTTCATTCTCTCAATTTCGTAAACAACATCTGTGTTGCGAGAAGGTATTGAGTAGGATATCCCTATCAGTGGTTGTATGCACGAGGTCATGTGAGAGCATTTAGAGAGGTAGAGCTGACTCTTCCCACCTTCGGCTGTACTAGGGTATTCAAAGGCGATTTTGTCTAGAGGTTAAGCGTTAGCTCGCGAGACTAATAGGTCCTAGATTCAAATCTCGCGTGGAACTGTTGGAGAGTTCGACAATAAAAAGAAACTGTGGTTTAGTACCTTCAGGTTTTCCATGATGGTCTAGCTTTAATTAACTTATGATCCCAACTAATGAAATTACATAAATTCTTATCAAGTTATTATATCTTAACATGAATACACTTTGATAAGATATAGCCAATGCTTCTGAAACCTTTTCTTATATTTTGATCGATTCTGACAATAAATATTGAGTAATATGCAGTTTGATGATAGACGTTCAGGAATCAATATCTGTATAATGTTCATTCGTTTCAATGCATATTGTCAGGAATTGTGATATCTCCGGTTGAACTCTTTTCTTACTTGTAGAGTGGAAGATCATAAACCTTTCAGAAACGCATCTGAAGAGTTTATGCGATGAATAGAGATAATGTATTAAAAGAAAGAAACAAACAAACAAAGTTAGATAATGCAATGAGAAGACGAAGTTTATCAGAATTATATGATATATTTGCGAAATATATTTCGAACAATCTGATAACACATACACTATGTTTCCATCCAACGTTCTTTATATAGAAAACCGACATACACAGGGCAATATCTTAATTTCCATAGTCACTACCCAATTGATAAAGAGCTTATTCAATCATATTTGTACTAGAGATACTACTGATGTGCAGACGAAGCTCTTGACTGATTCGTTAATGAATAATTGTTATTCACTGAAGTTCATAAACCTCTGGAAAGATTGCAATACTATTAGACCAATGACACTTCTGGCACCCAAAAAGCGAGTTTACATTATGCTACCATTTAGAAGCGACACAAATAGTATCATGTTAAAACAGAGACTTAAATTAGTCATCAACCAGACATTTTATGCAACCCAACTTGTCATTATTGAAAAGAAAAGGTTTATGTTTCACCAAAAGCACAAACAACACGTAAGCGATTGTGTCATATCCCATTGTGTCTATCAATTTATATGTATGTGCAGAAACACGTACAAAGGGAGAAGCATTGGTGATTTTCAATTAAGGGTGGATGAACACACACATACCGAAATGGCTGCAGAAACAAATGAATTCTAATGGTCAAATAAGATCACAGACATCATCCTCCATTGCAAAACATTTGATTGAGATTGATCATAATGTAGATATTAAGTCAGCATTCATAATGTCATCGAAAAGCCTTCATTGGCGTATACTAAGGTTTATTGTAACCTTGGCTATATGGAAACTGTAACCCCCTTTATGAGTTGTAAAACAATTTCAATGGTTGAGATCATGAATTAATTTAAGTTAGACTACCATGGAAAAACTGGAAGCATTAGACGGCTGTTTCTTCGTTGTATGCTCGCTCAATAGTCTAATAATTAAACACTAACGCTCAAGACTGATAGGTCCTAGTTTCAAATCTTACGGGGGCGGGCAGGATCGTAGATGCGCACTGTTGAGGAGTCTTACAATAGGACGACTTGGCCGTCCAGTGCTACCAGGTTTTCAGTGATGGTCTAGCATCAATCAGTTCATAATCACAATCTAAAACTTAATAATCTTCAAAACCCTATACTGAAAATTTTAATCATCAAAGTGTTGTAGTTTTACTATTGAATACTTATATATGAAAGAAGGCTTTGAAAAGACTTTCTTGTATTTCTAATAATAAAAGGAAACAAACACTGTGTAAGTGTCATATAAACACTTGTTTTAGTTTCTTTTTATTGCATAATTTTATTCTACTTTAAGTGAGAACACTTGAAATTCATTAACTGCGTTTTCCTACATCTATATATATATACTTATATATGAACTCCTCTTGGGAGATCATCTGTTAAGTCTTAATTATACGATTTCAAGTGGTACGATCATGGTACTTGAAATGTAAGAGTATTTCTATTTCTATTTTTTTTTTTAAAACAAACAAAGAAACATTATTTTGAAGGATTTCAACGAATTTCTATCAAAGAACTAATTAACACCATTGTAAGGAATAAAATATGGAATAACTATTTAGACAATTTTGTATAGACAATATCACTTATTGTAATACACTCATTGTTGCTATGGAAATTAATGAGTATATACTTGG